ACTCCGATTCAGTTCAGATACCTGAACACCATCAAGATGTTCTTGAAAAAAACTGGTGTGGCCAAACTTCGAGGCAAGGCTGCTGAGATAAAATATTTGGCAGCTCCTTTTTCGGCCGTGTGGGAGCACTTCAAGAACCCGCATTTGTCATTGCATGCAGACATCAGCCTCCTCCTCAAGCTCAACAAGCTTATTGAGGACATCCTCATTGAAAGGAAGGGTGAAGTGTCGCTCGGAGAGGATGCTACAAGATTCGAGGAGGCTCTCAATGCTTTTTTATCTTTGCAATCCAAAGTTGCTTCATGTCTTCAGGAGGCGAGTGGGGAGAACATGATGGCCATCACAGAAAAAGCACATTTCTTACAACACAGTGCTATGTTATCCAAGTACCTGTCGCCGAGGTTGGTGTGGGTCTTCGGAGGGGAAGATCAGCAGCGAAGAGTGCAATGCCTTGGAAAATCCGCCGTTAAGGGCAATGGACCGACGAAAGCAGTGCTGAAAATGGTTTCCAAGTACAGGATGGCCCTTCATTTCCAGTTTCAGACCCACGATGGGTAGGACTCTGACGTTTGGAACCTGGTTCAACCAGAGCTTGGAAGGGATCCAGCTTCCCAGCACACTGCAGACCTTGACCTTTCTTGGAGGGTCGGGGGACTTAGTAAATGTTTATTTTATAGACTTATAAGTACTTATAGACTTATATAAGTACTCTAACCCCAATTAGGGTCCCTTTTAGGGTACTTATAAGTCTACTTATTATACCTGCTTACTAAGTCTCCCGACTCTCCAAGTTGGATGGAAGTTCAACCAGAGCTTGGAGGGCATCCGGCTCCCCAGCACACTGCAGACCTTGACCTTTGGATGGAGGTTCAACCAGAGGTTGGAAGGCATCCAGCTCCCCAGCACACTGCAGACCCTGACGTTTGGAGAGACAGGTTCAACCGGAGCTTGTGGGCCAGGATGCAAAATGAAGAGAGCTTGGACTGTGTGCCTGAAGCACCTACCCCCACAGCTTGAAGCCTCGCACACCTTGACACAGCCACCCTAAACCCCATAGAACTGCAAAGCCGTACACAGCTACACGGAGTTCAAATCTGTCATCGTTCCAAATAGACAACAACAGATATAGCCGGAAACCAACAGGGCTCCCAAAGTCTCAATCCTGACTTTCAGAACCGAGGATACATAGCTTAGAGCTTGAAGCCCAACAAAGCGCTGAAGCCCAACTTTGCTCTGTTTCTGTGCAGGCCCCTCGTAACAGACAACCCTACAAAGCCCAAAAAGCCACCACATGTGTGAAGATGAAAACAATGTTGGAAAGCATGGTCATGTTCTCATCTTATACCATCTTGTTTTCGCACCGGTAATTAGTCTTGCAGCATCATTATGTCATCTCACCGAAGTTGCAGTCGACGTCATCAAGTTTCGCTTTCACCATCATACCGACTTCTAGTATCTGTATCGTGGAATAGGTTGGGAACCACAAACGATTTGACATGTGCTTCAGTGCTCACGATGTGGCGAATTTGGTGGTGATGAATATATATGGTGTGATTTTATATACCAGAGATCTTGAGTTGGAATTTCCCGCAGGATATATATATGCGATTTTTCATAGCGATTATGTTGAGAATTCATAGCGATTATGTTGAGAATTATTTGTATGGATTTCTCACCATATATTGATTGTTACCCGCATGCAATGTACTAATATAATATCGTTATCAGTATGTACTGATACTTTCTTTGTATCCGTCCAAAGGTATAGTGTAGTGTAGTGTAGTGTGTAGTGTAGTGTGTAGTGTAGTGTAGTGTAGTGTAGTGTAGTGTAGTGTACTGTAGTGTAGTGTAGTGTAGTGTAGTGTAGTGTAGTGTAGTGCAATGTACTAATATACGAGTGCACAAATGTATTTATATACCACAGAGATCTTCAGTTGGAATTTCCCGCAGGATAGATATATGCAATTTTTCATAGCGATTATGTTGAGAATTCATAGCGATTATGTTGAGAATTATTTGTATGGA